TTTTTGTATAAATATATTTTTCTTGAAGTACATTTGAGGAACTCCCTAAAATTACTTGGTTCCCTTAAAATGAATATTTGGGGTTTAAATGAAATAGCAATTCACCACACTTTAATTTTTTCTGAATATAAGCAGATATGGAAATTATGTTTGATGAAATATTTATCTTTATTTATATATCTCCTTCTTTTATATGTTATCCGAATTGGATTTTGCTGAGGATGAAAAATTTTTGACAAAAAAAAATGAAAATATATTTTTTCATTGTTAATGTACTTTTAAAATGTATTTTGCCTGTATATATATTCATTGGTGAACTTAAGAATATTGAAATTTAAATATCGAATCTTTCTATATATAAAAGATTTATATATATTTGCCATATTTAATGAGGATACCCTTTATGGGTATTAGGAACATCTATATAGTATAAAGGAATGAGTCTTAACGGAATATCATGAATGGCCAAGAGTCTCCATTGCTTTAACAAAATTATTCAAGCTAATTTGGTGATCATGTTATATAACAGGCTGTCAATTCTTGGTGTGATGCATGAAGGGAAAAATGTTTGTATGAGATCTATAAATATATTCTGTAGATGGAATGGAATATTTTATCGAGAATTTGGCAATACATTTTTAAATCATTAATTTGAAATATAAAAATTTTATATAATACAAGTTTTTCATATTGAACAGAATATTTGCAATGTATGTATATTGATGTTTTCATTTCTTAGATGTTTATATTGATTGATTTATAACTCAAATCGTCTGAACATGTGCATTCAATTTCAGATATACCATCTGATTTCATTAGTGTTTATCAAATATATAAATTTAAAATTATAGCATTTGTATCATATATTTTCTATATTAAATAATCAAAATATATATATATATAAACTAATAAGGGTTGATGAACCATATATAATCATGTTTCTTTTGGATTTTAAACAGTTCGTCATCATTCTGTACAATTGAATTGTCTGTTCTAAGTACGTAAACATGAAATCGGATAGCGTTATTAATTACTCGGCCCGCACTATCTTGCGGGCGGTGTGCTTCTCCAATTGGTTTTAAATATAAACTTTTTTTTTTTTTTTTTTTTTTTTTTTTTTATGAAATGTTCAGCCAATACAAGAGCCACTCAAGGTAGACTTACTAACGAGGTTGTTGTTTGAACATAAAAGGAAGGAAGTAAGTACATATTATGAGGATATGTAGGACAGATAAATTGGGAAGAAGCTATCTGAATGGAACTTCTTCCTTATGAAGGGAATTGGGCCGATTCGAACTTGTGTACGTTCTACAGATCTGAAGGGCTTAAGATCGGATTGATCGATAGTCTATTTCATAAAGTAACGGTTATTGGAAAGACTCTCTCCGAGAAGAACCTTACTCAAGGACACATGGCACAGTGGATAAAGGCATTGGTTAGATCCAGTGACAGGACCCAAAGAGTGAGTTCAATACCCGGTTAAGGCTGTGGAGAACTTGGAGAGAAGAATTAACAGGACATAACTGATAATTGACATCCATTAAGCATGGCACATGGAACTAGAACAGTCTACCGCAGCGAGCGAAATAAAGAGTTCAGTTCTACATTTCAAGCACCTGAAGAAGGCCGGAGCGTACAACGGCCGAAACGTTGTAATAAATATGGCGACAAAGATGAGGATGATAGTCTGAACAAATAGTATTTACAATCATTCCCAATAAAGATTAAACGCAATTCAGGACAAGAAAATAACTATCGAGTGATTAAGTGTAATTGGTAGATGCACAACAGAAGTAACAAAGTTTGCAATAAACAATAAGAAAAATAATACTAAGTAAACTAAATATGCAAGCGAAAAGTAGGCAAAACACCAGTAATAAGGCAAAAAATTTCCAAATTAAAATTGGCGTTAACACACAAAACGGATACAGACAAGCGGTCGTAGCGTTCTGACTTCAAGACATGGAAAAACAGAAATATAGCGGGCGAGAAAGAAGTGGCAATCACGATGAAAGCGTCATTTTTTCCCAGATAGTTGCCGTCGTTTGATAATGCCTGAGTAAAGAAATTCTCAAAAATAAAAAAAATAAAAAAAGGGTTACTGTAATTAAAATAACATCGTTAAGACACATAATGCGTGGAGAATATGATTCATGCCTTTCTCGAGAGTATGCTTTTGTGTGCCGTACCAGTTCAGAATATGGGTGATCATGACTCTCCACAACTTCCTGTCTCTATAGCTCTTTACTGTCTCTATCTCTCTTCTGCCATCTATGTACAAAAGTTCGTTATTTAGATGATTCGTTGTTTCCTTCTGCCCTCGCTTACCTTCAGTAAGTCCTACTTCCTCAGTATGACTCAACATGTTGCGCTGATACCTAAGCTCCCAAATAAATTTAAATAAACTTCCGTCATAGACTAAAGTGAATCGTCCGGTGAATTATTTTTAAATGATTAAGAGGAATGTTTGTAATACTGGGATTTGACTAGAAAGAAGTTAAGCTAGAAATGTCTGTCTTCTGCCAATACCTCGTAAATAATGGAATATTCCATTTTGATTGCGTGGAAAATGAATGAAAGAGCGGAAGAAGAGGAGATAGAAGTGTTTAAAGTCTGTTTTTAATGAAATGGAAAAAGTTGGCAATTTCAAATCTTTGCATTTGTACCCCCTTACTTCTTAAAATAACGACCAGCATTCATAATTTATGATTGTTATTGCAATATTTTGTTAAAGTTATCAAACTCAAATATTTAGCGATGCGATAGGGGAATTTCTACGGATATTTTATTGTCATAGAACTCACTATGACTTTATTAAATCTTTATCTGAAGAATAAATATTCATAAGAAAATTCAAATAGATAAATCGTAAAGTTTTCACGGCTCTTTCTCCATATTTTCCTTTTATGTTTCTGAAAGAAAGGAAGAAGGGAAGCTAGAATTAGAGAAAGAGAATCGGATAAAGCTGATGAGAACAGATACTACATTTTGATCTTAGCCAAAAGTCCGAGAAAGGAGTATACAACCCCCCCACACACGCTCACACGAGGGTTACATGTGGCACAAGGCCGGGTTTAACGTGGGTCTCCGAGACCGTAGGCTCGGCCAAAAAAAATGCCCGTAGAACTCGTATAAACGGGTTCCGGTTGGTCAACCTCCCCGAACGAGGCTCTGGCCTTTGGCATAGCCTCGTCCTGGTTCCTCTCTGCTCAGTCAGAGAGTTCGACCTGCCAGCCGAAAAGTCCAAGACAGAAGCAGATTGACATGAGCTTTTATGATCGTTGTTATTGCAAAGTTTTAAAGTTAGTAAAGTCAAATATTTAACGATGCGATAGGGGAATTTCTACGGGTATTTTATTGTCATGGAACTCACTATGAGCTGTTAGAATATTAATTCTTAAAATTCCTCAGAAAATGTAAATAGGAAATCCGTGAAATTTTCGCGGGCCTTTATTTTTCGAAGAAAAGCTTTTCTTTCGCCTCGAACAAAGGTCTTGTATAAGGAGTAAAATATGAATAAAAAAGGGATAGATACGAATAGCATTAGGTGGATTTCTGTCTCAAATATCAAGTATAGTTACTTGAAACAAGTCACTATACTTCAGTCTCGCCAAAAGTATTAGTGTGTCTCAAATGTCGACTGATGGAATTGTTCATTCCTCTGTTTAATATCTGAGGTAGGGATTAAATTTCTATTTTTACAAATTTATTTATTTATTCCTTTTACTAACCGTACCCCCCACCTTATCACACCTCTGCAACTTGGATGCCAATCGCCCCGACTTCTGTGTTAAAACCAGACGCTAGAGGTTCCAACTTATTGAGCGCCACACCTAACCCCCAAATAAAGAATTCGCAAGGAATTTCTAACCCTACTAGTTATTAGCCCCTCCCTCCTCGACTAATTAGGCACAGGAGAGTCGTATTTGCTGCCAGGTGGCTGGCGAAATTCTCAAAGGGATAAAGACGTACAGTCAATGATTAAAAGTATTGTTTACTTGTTTAAAATCTGGTTTGATTTCATGAAGACTTGTGATGGGAAATCTATTAAAACAAAAATTGATAGCACAGTAAGTAACTCACCATCTGTGAAATCCCAAACTAGAGGGGGTCTCACCGTCAGCAAATAGGACCGCAATTCTACTTAACCGCGGTCAGCCCAATCAGAAATATTTTCGACTGCAAATGTCTTGTAAAATATTTCAAAGGAGTGAAATATGATTAAAAAAAAAAAAAGTGGGGGACAGATACGAATGGCATTGGGCGGACTTCGGTCTCTAGACGCGAATGGCAATGGACGGACTTCGGTCTCTAGACGCGAATGGCAATGGACGGACTTCGGTCTCTAGACGCGAATGGCAATGGACGGACTTCGGTCTCTAGACGCGAATGGCAATGGACGGACTTCGGTCTCTAGACGCGAATGGCAATGACGCGAATGGAATGGCAATGGACGGACTTCGGTCTCTAGACGCGAATGGCAATGGACGGACTTCGGTCTGGACTAGACGCGAATGGCAATGGACGGACTTCGGTCTCTAGACGCGAATGGCAATGGACGGACTTCGGTCTCTAGACGCGAATGGCAATGGACGGACTTCGGTCTCCTAGACGCGAATGGCAATGGACGGACTTCGGTCTCTAGACGCGAATGGCAATGGACGGACGAATGACGCAATGGTAATGGACGGACTTCGGTCTCTAGACGCGAATGGCAATGGACGGACGCGAATGGCAATGGACGGACTTCGGTCTCTAGACGCGAATGGCAATGGACGGACTTCGGTCTCTAGACGCGAATGGCAATGGACGGACTTCGGTCTCTAGACGCGAATGGCAATTTGACTTCGGTCTCTAGACGCGAATGGCAATGGACGGACTTCGGTCTCTAGACGCGAATGGCAATGGACGGACTTCGGTCTCTAGACGCGAATGGCAATGGACGGACTTCGGTCTCTAGACGCGAATGGCAATGGACGGACTTCGGTCTCTAGACGCGAATGGCAATGGACGGACTTCGGTCTCTAGACGCGAATGGCAATGGACGGACTTCGGTCTCTAGACGCGAATGGCGAATGGACGGACTTCGGTCTCTAGACGCGAATGGCTCTAGACGGACGGACGGACTTCGGTCTCTAGACGCGAATGGCAATGGACGGAGACGCGAATGGCAATGGACGTCTCTAGACGCGAATGGCAATGGACGGACTTCGGTCTCTAGACGCGAATGGCAATGGACGGACTTCGGTCTCTAGACGCGAATGGCAATGGACGGACTACTCGTACGTTACCCTCCCCCTTGTCCTCACCCCACATTAAAAATTTGTGGCTTGAAGATGTGAGCATAAGACATTTTACCTTTGAAAACGTTACTTCTTTTTTAAAGTACGATATTCCTTCAGGATGTAAACAATCATGATTATGCTAAGATATTTTTCTTCATTTATGAATAGCCACTATTTTTTTTTTTTTTTTTTTTTTTTTTTGGAAAAATAGTGGAGTACTTTTCGTATTCTTCTCCATGGTTTGAAATTCATCACTTACGTGCTAATACCCTTGGGAAAGGTATGAATCCTCTTCTCCTCCCAGCTATGGGTAAATAGCAGGACAGACCGGGTTCTATAGACTTGGGAGGCTACTGGTTTACCGCATAAAGAAATGGCAACCTACTGCGGGAAACAATCTGCCTCTTCAGTCATATATCGAAAGATACATGATCGTCTAAGCGTGTATCACGCATGGTACATAACTGACTGACTGATTACTAATGATTTTACTATCGGGGCGCATTAAAAATGAGGAAGAGAGGGATTGTCAGTGGTCAGGAATGAATGCAAGCATTACTGAGAGAATAGAATATGTATAATGTAAATACCCTTGGGAAATATATGAATCTTTTTCTTCTCCTCCCAGCTATGGGTAAATAGCAGGACAGACCGGGTTCTATAGCCCTGGATGGCAACTGGTCTACCGCAGAAAGAAATGGTAACCTACTGCAGGAAAAAATCTACTTACATTGTTTGGATTATTGTCCTCATCTTTATTGTCATATTCACGACGTTTCGACTTTTTGAACACCCCGGCCTTCTTCAGACATATATACGTTGGAATTTCAGAATTCCAATGTATATCAAATGGAGAAAGGTTAGGTTAGGGATCTAACAATATTTTTCCTTGTGGGGACGCAGGTTCGGATCTTTTTTCTTTTATAAGATTTCTCGGAATGGAGGAAAACAGATATACTGTTTAATAAATAAACGGAGCGTCTACTCACATATGGGCATCCACTAAAAATGCGTTTAAGTAAATAAAAAAAAAAATTTTCTTTATATAAATTTAACACACACACACATATATATATATATATATATATATATATATATATATATATATATATATATATATATATATATATAATAACCATTCCGGTAAAAACGAAATTACACCCCACCGAACACCCACAAGGTAATCTACAAAAACCTTAACTCCGATTGTCCCTACTGAAAAGATCTCAGCCCAACCAAGAAAAGTTTCAAAAGAAAAGAAAGAATATTATTAGGTTATTTTGAGCAGTGAGTCGAGACATTTTCAGCACCTTTTTGAATTTGCCTTCCACCTTCACCATTTGGGAATTAGAAGTTTTAAAAATATCATGGAATTGTTCAAAGAGAAAATACCAAAAATAGAAGAAGAGAACATTTCTCAGAGTTCTGCCAATGTCTTTAAAATTCCTGTAACTTAATATCTGCCATTGAGTTGGCGAGAATAGTTAAGACAACAGGCCTAATTAACAATGTGGGTAGCTTGGCTGTTCTCAGGAATTTTTTAGCCTTTTGTAAATAATGAATCTAATTTATATTATAACGTTGTTCAGCTCATGGCCTTCATCAGAAAATGCTTAATTGGCATCTCTTGTACACACACACACACACACACACATCAACGATCCAAAATTCAATTTTCATATTCTCTCATAAGTTGTGAGCAGGTAAGTTAATTAACTTTTGAACAGAAAATAAACAACCTTCACCAAGTGTTCCGAGAAATAGGACTTCCAAAACAGAAACAAAAAAGATCTGGAATTGGAATGAAAGCAGTGATGGCACCAACACTGAATCCATAAATATTCAATATGTGGAATTCGTAAATACAAGTTGAGAAATTCGAAATTCTTAGGACCGGAAGCACTTTGGTTTTCAAATTATTTGGTTTTTGTAATACAGGCTATTTAATTTGTATATAGCATCTATAAAAAGGGGCGTGTTGGGAATTGGACCCAAGCATAAACATGATGTCCATCTACACTTCATTACACAGCTTGTGCATGTAACCTGAATGTAGTTTTATATAAATAACGCATACCCCGAAGGCATTATTGAAATTCGTCTGTCTCTCTCTCTCTTTCTCTCTCTTTCTCTCTCTCTCTCTCTCTCTTTCTCTCTTTGGCGTTCGTCGTTCTCTCTCTTTCTCTCTTTGGCGTTCGTCGTTCTCTCTCTTTCTCTCTTTGGCGTTCGTCGTTCTCTCTCTTTCTCTCTTTGGCGTTCGTCGTTCTCTCTCTTTCTCTCTTTGGCGTTCGTCGTTCTCTCTCTCTCTCTCTCTCTTTTCTCGTTCGTCGTTCTCTCTCTCTCTCTCTTTTGGCGTTCTCTCGTTCTCTTCTCTCTCTCTCTTTGGCGTTCGTCGTTCTCTCTCTCTTTGGCTCTCGTCGTTCTCTCTCTCTCTTTGGCGTTCTCTCTCTCTCTCTCTCTCTTTTCTCTCGTTCGTCGTTCTCTCTCTCTCTCTCTTTTCTTTCTTTCGTTCTCTCTCTCTCTCTCTTTGGCGTTCGTCGTTCTCTCTCTCTCTCTCTTTTGGCGTTCGTCGTTCTCTCTCTCTCTCTCTTTTGGCGTTCGTCGTTCTCTCTCTCTCTTTGGCGTTCTTTCTCTCTCTCTCTTTCTCTCTCTCTCTCTCTCTCTTTGGCTTTATTTCTCATGTTCTCTCTTCTCTCTCTCTTTCTCTCTCTCTCTCTCTTCTCTCTCTCTCTCTCTTTGGCGTTCGTCGTTCTCTCTCTCTCTCTTTTCTTCTCTCGTTCTCTCTCTCTCTTTGGCGTTCTCTTCTCTCTCTCTTTGGCGTTCGTCGTTCTCTCTCTCTCTTTGGCGTTCGTCGTTCTCTCTCTCTCTTTGGCGTTCGTCGTTCTCTCTCTCTCTCTTTTCTCTCGTTCGTCGTTCTCTCTCTCTCTCTTTGGCGTTCGTCGTTCTCTCTCTCTCTCTTCTTTTTCGTCGTTCTCTCTCTCTCTCTCTTTCTCGTTCGTCGTTCTCTCTCTCTCTCTTTGGCGTTCGTCGTTCTCTCTCTCTCTTTGGCGTTCGTCGTTCTCTCTCTCTCTCTTTGGCGTTCGTCGTTCTCTCTCTCTCTCTTTGGCGTTCGTCGTTCTCTCTCTCTCTCTTTGGCGTTCGTCGTTCTCTCTCTCTCTCTCCGTATTTAGTGTTAGATAATTCCTTTCTTTTTCCCTTTTAAGATAAACTCCTTCAAAATAAATATTTATACATGTGTGTATATATGTTTCTTTTCAGGTAAATCTTTTGATATTACCTACGTGAGCATACGTTTCCACTCAAGTCGTCCAGAGAGTTTTGCAATTTACAAACGGACCACAGAAGATGGAGAATGGATACCTTATCAGTATTATAGTGCCTCCTGTGAGAGAACATACGGTTTACGTCCAGGTGGAATTATCACAGAGTATGACGAATCAAAAGCCGTTTGTTCTGATGAATACAGTGATATTTCTCCATTGTCTGGAGGCACAGTGGCTTTTAGTACCTTGGAAGGTCGACCAAGTAGCAGAAAATTTGAAACCTCCATAGTATTGCAGGTGAGCAATTTTTAAAAAATTATTTTAATTTCTTTTACGATTTTTTTTCTCCTAAATTCTTTAACTTCATAATTTAGGAATTTTTAATCCAAAAGAATTTTATTTTTAACTTGAAGAGTAGGTACCCAAACTAAACAAGGTTTAAAATGAATTTTTTAAAATGAAAGGTCTTTTTTGAAGCTTTTATTTTATTTTTAATTTCAAGTTAGTAGATTAAATTTAATATTTACAACATTTAAATTATTTGCTGTATTTTCACCAGGTCCTCCCTGACCCTGTGTGTTAGTACCTGTTAGGGTCCCGGCTATGGGCAAATAGTTAACCGCCAAACTGGGTTCAAAACACTATAAAAGTGTAAAAATAAGTATTAATACCAGAAATACTTTGTAAAAAAAAAAATTATTACCAGCGATAAATTTTTGATGAAAAAGAAATATTAGCAACTATACATTAATAGTGTATTTTTACGAGTGTGTTTGTGTGAGTTAATACCATATGCATACATAAAAATATTTGTGTGTATGCACATGTGTAATTACATATGTACTAATACACACACACACACACACACACATATATGCAAATGACCAGTACTGAGCAAAATTTATTATGAGTGTAGGTGCATTGTTTTCAAATGCATTTGACTAACATTTATTTTTTAATTTTGTATTTCTACAATTTCTGGATAGCCCCCTTAGATTGGGATGCTTGTTTTGATGGAGTACCATAGCTACAACTGGTAAATTAAAAATAATTTTAACAGAGCATGTTCCTGTGTGTTATCAAAAATCACCATCACAATGATCAGTTACAATACATTGGTGTTTGCAATACACCCCTGAGGATGATCTTCGAGGGATTGCAAGTACTTGGGTTAGGAAAAACTACAACGCCTTCCTTCATGAGGATTATTATAAAATAAATAGACATAATATGTCTATATTATTCAATGGGACATGTTTGAATATATATATATATATATATATATATATATATATAGCTGGCCACTTGTATTCAATGATACCCATCTACTAGGGTGGCTAGCCAATCCCTATTGGAGACGCACGCTCAGGCACATTTCTCATTGTTCAACACCCACAGAGCCCACCTGTGGTTTATACTGCAACTATGCTGAGCAGACCTTAGTTACAGTTTCCAGCGTGATCAACAATTTGAACATGCCCCAACACAATCAACCCTCCAGCCACAATGACTTATGACTTTGTGCTAGCACAGCCATAATGAAGGGTTCCATCTACCCAATTTCCCTCACAGGTCTAGGGTTAACTTGTGGTATGGTTTTCAGGCAAAGGTGCCACATGCCAGGATGACATCAGGAAGTCTCTTTTAAATATATATATATATATATATATATATGTCATTTAAGTCTATATATGTATATAGTTACTATTTGTTGAATAATGACTATGTATATATATATATATATATATATATATATATATATATATATATATGTTCATTGTTATATATATATATATTTATTTTTTTTACATTTCTTAGTAATTTCTTTCTTAGTGTTTGAATTGTCCTTTTATTCTTTTATTTTCTTCTTTCATGGAAGCCATGTTCTTTGGATGAAGATTGCTTAGACCAAATTAATGGCCTTTTAGGCTTCCTCAGGAGGAGTTTACTTTTAAATAAGAATTATATATCATGGGGTGAGGGATCAGGATTTTAGAGATGCTTAGGTGGGGCATGGCCCCAAAACACTGGAAACCATTAATCTACACCATTGATATATCAGAGGGTTTGTTAGCTCTGCGCAAAAAAAAATCTCTTTGCAGTCCTTATATTTAGTAACTAATTAGTGGATCCAGTACAGTAAAAAAAAAAATCAGATAGCAACATCTTTTATCAATAACTTTTCAGTTTAATAAGTTTTTTTAATCTGTGTGATTTGAAAAGGCAGTTTTATAGAATTATGTTTACTCTATAGAATTATCGAAAAGAAATGGTTTTATAGAATAATGTTTAAAGAAATGGTTAAAAACAATTTTGGGTAAAAAAATTATCTTCCTATCTAAAAAAAAAATGATCCTTTAGGGCATTTAGTTCAATTAAAAGGGCCAACTCTGTGCCCTATATTTTATTGCTAATAAACTTTAAAAAAAATGGGGACTCTGGTAAATCTTATCAGGGCCACAGAAATGGCTATATAGTACCCAGCGCAAATTTTCTTAGTTTTAATTACAATTTTCAGTACCTGATTTTTTTACCTAAATAATGTTTTTCAGTTCCTATTAATGTTAACTCATGTTGTAGAGTAGTTTCACAGTGGAGGCTTGTATTTGTACTAAGTTGGTCCTAAAATAGGTTCAATGTACAAAACGTTAGGAACTTGATATAATAGGTAATGATGCAGGGAAATCTAGTTGTGGTCGCTGATACTTTAGTATCTGACTAACGGTCGTCCGACATCGACTGACTGACCAACGATATTCAGTCACCCCCCCCCCCACGAGGGCATCATGTGGCACAAGGCCTTTTTAACGTGGGATCTCTGAGCCCGTGAGCTCTGCTAAAAATATGCCCATTAAACCCGTATAAACAGGTTCAGGGTCGGTTTACCTCCCCGAAAGAGAATCCACCCTTCGGCGTAGCCTCCTTCAGGTTCCTCCCCGCCCGAAGGCAGAGAGTTCAACCGATCAGCCAGTCGACTGACTGACCAACTCCCTGAGCGACTCCTACTACTCCTACTTATTATAGGTGGAAGAGTCTATTAACTATAGAATAGGTGTGTTCCACTATAACAACTCAAAGTACAAAGTTTGAAGTGCCTGCATGTAAAATATTTCAAATAAAGATTTATATTTAATAATTTTTTTTTTTTTTTTTATTTTATTTTCAAAAATCAGGTACGATATACCCATGGTTAGTAGTGGTGTAACTTTAATTGATGGTTAGTTTTCTAGGGTTAAAGAGGCCATAACTCTGTGATCTATATTTTAGTTCTAATAAAAATTATGTAATTGAAACATATTTTTGAGCCTTATTTATTTTGTGATATCGATAAACACTCATTGCTATTTTTGTAATGTCAATGAATATTTGTTGTCACTTTTGGAATGATCATTTGTAATTGCAGATACAACTATAGTAATGCCGTTGAACAATACTAGTGTCGGACGCCTTCAAATATCACTTGCACCAATAGTACTTGCTCGATAATACTCGCTCAAACAGTAACCACCAAATAGTGATTAGTATAGATGAATAGTACAGTGCAGGTGTGTCAAAATGGTGGTCTGTGGGCTGCATCTGGCCTTTTACATAGATCTTGGTGGCCCTCACAAAGATTTCTGTAGCTGTGGTATATCGAGAATTTTTGTTGAAAGTACCTAGAAGTAGGGGTACCCGGATTTTTTTTCATATCTTCCTCATGCATTTAAGAACTTCAGAAGGTTTGCCACAAAGATTATGGCAATGTTTGGTTCCACATATGTCTGTGAGCAGTTATTTTCCTTTATGAAGGCCACAAGAACACCTCACAGAACCAGATTAACTGGACATTTGTCATCTTTGATTAAATGGGGTCTACAAAGGTATTCCAACCTTATATATTGAGAATAGTTTGTCTAAAGCAATGTCAATCATCAGGACAATATAAAAATAATTGGTCTATCTTCTATTGTAAGTATTTTGTATTGAAAGTTTAGTTACTACTAGTTGTGATTAATGTAAGACTGTAAGCAGGTGTGGCCCTCGAGGCTGCAGATATGGCACTCCATATGCACCGAGTTTGACATGCCTAGTATAGGGATAGAAGATAGTGTAGAAATAGGGACCACTTAGATGCCATACTAATTCCCATGTATACATTTCTTTTATCATCACATGATCTACTTATTCAAAATGGAGTTGCCTGTGTTTGCTCATTGGCGATCAGTGTTCAAACTACAGTGATACTTTGCACATATACAACAATTTACAAAAATAAAAAAAAAACAAACCATTTAAATGAAAAAAAACTGTTATCCTGGCATGTGGCACCTTTGCCTGAAAACTATACCATGAGTTAACCCAAGCCCTGTGAGTGAAATTGGGTAGATGGAACCCTTTGTTAGAGCAATAGTAGCACGGTGTCACAACTCATCATGGCTGGAGGGTTGAGCGTGCTGGGGCTTGTTCAAATTGTTGAATGATCCATGCATAGTTAACTTATATTAATTTCTCTTTTCTTTTTTTTTTTTTGATGGTATAAACTAAATTTAAAATATTAACCTTTTTATTATTAATTTTCATTGTTAATGCTGCTGGTTAACTGGTTTGGTTTTAAAAACAAGCATCACCATTTGTTTGTTCTGGAAACTGTAAAATGAGTTTTTGCTAAAATAAACGGCTAGTGGGTGTCTGCATCAAAAATATCCTCAATCAAGAGGGAGCCATGAATAGAAAAAGGTTGAGAATCACTGATTTATTCTTTCACCAAGGGTAAGTGAATATAAGGAATCTGACTGGGATTGGAACTCTGCTCTCCGATTTTAAATACTGAGTTATTATCCATTACACCACCCACACATCCAAGCTTACAGCATCTGGTATTCCCAAGTAGTCACCCATCTAGGTACTGACCAGGCTCAACGTTGCTTAACTTCGGTGATCATACGGGAACTCAGCTCCCTGATTAATAATTCCAAGCAAATATACATTACACAACTCGCATATCTAAGCTTACAACACCTGGTATTCCCAGGTACTGACCAAGCTGTATGTTGCTTAATCCATCTGTAATAATGTATTACGTGGATATTTTTATAAAAATTTGAACCTTTTCATTAATCTCAATATTTTATTATGATTTGCGTAGGAATTTTTTTTTTTTTTTTTTTTTTTTTTTTTTTTTTTTTTTTTTTTTTTTTTTCTTTTTTACATTTAAATGGTATGGTTTTTTTTTTTTTTTTTTTAAACGAGCAGTTTTGAAGTTTATATGGTGAAATATCCTTGTTTATTTGTTCCGGGAATTGTAAAGTGAGTTTTTGTTAAACGGCTAGGAGGGGGGCCATAAAATATCCTCAATTAAAAGGGGGTGAAAACCACTGCAGTAAAGCTTGGAAATTGACCGGTAGGCGGGTATAATCACTTCTGATGTTTTTAGAGTTCCGAAACCCCCAAGGGCACAAAGAATAACACTTCAATGACAAATCTTCTCGTTACACTGCAGGTTTGCTCGAGATATGTGTGACAATCTTTCTTTTCTTTGACATGAGATGTGGCTAATCATGGTTCTCCACAACTTCCTATATCTTGTGCACCAATGTTTTTCGCCTTTACTATTCCTTATGTCATATTCTGTCGTCGATTTACACCAGCTCATTAGGTATGTGACTAGATGTTTCTGCTATTGCCTTAATATATATCCTGTGAGTGTCATTTTCACCAAGCCTCTTTCCTCATGATGTCTTATTTTCCTTAAAACTACCTCATTCTTCACACGTTCCGTCAGTGCTATTCTCATCATCCTTCTGTTGCTACGTCTTCATCTTTGATGAAATTGTCCGGCATACATTGCCATATAGGAGGACAGATGTTTCCCTCTTCTAATCTTGCCTTAATGTACAGGGTGTCCGTAAAGTCTCTTTACAATTTAAAGAAATATATATTACAAAGGCAATTAATGATATCTTAATCAGATTCATTCTATTTGCTCAGTAGTGATCAAATTTATAATCACACTGAACTTGTATATTTTAGGCATCCTGTTGATGAAAGAGATACTGTTAAATGAACCCCTAACTAAATCCGTTGTTTTTAATGTGGGACCACATGAAAATAACTAAATAGATTTCTGTATATAAATTAAAAAAAAAAAAATAATTGGAGAGAGAGTGTTATGGCGGAACATACCTATTCTATAGTTAATAGACTCTCCCACCTATAATAAGTAGGAGTAGTAAGAGTAACGAGGAGGCCAGTCAGGCTGCCAGTCAGTCAGTCGATGTCGGATGACAGTCGAATATGAAAGTATCCGCGACCATGACCAGATTACTCTGCGTAATAACAAGTTCCTAATGTTTTGTACGTCGAACCTATTTTAGGACCGCCTCAGTACAAGCCTCCATTGTGAAATGAGATATAGATAGAGAGATTGAGATTTGGCATATACAAAGTGCTATCAGTGTATTCTCTCATTGTCTGCCGAATTATGACACCTTTGCATTTGAGTAAGGCAGACGATAACTGTTTTATTGCTCATGATGACGTCTCTCATTAAAACTAGTTTTCATTGGCTGAATTCCAAAAGAAATCCAACAAATATAAGATCAGGCCAAAATTTTGTGGATTCAACTAAATCAGTTGTTTGTAACGTAGGTCCACATGGCTACGTGGGGGCCCTGGTAAATTTTATGGGGACCACAGAAACATTTTCTGATTGGGCAGAAGCACAAGTTCAATGAAAGGCACCACAGTGCTATAACTGTGTTTCCCCTTTACATTTTAGTTCTAATAAATTTAAATTATGTAATAAAATTGTTTTGCGTATCAAACAAACATATTGGACACGTCTGATGTAAAGCAAAAGATCACTGATGCAATTACCGTCATTGACGAAGCTATGCTACAGCGAACATGGCAAGAAATTAAGTACCTGGCTGTGGATTAGGAAGGTTCTTAATCGGCTATGGAAGGATTAAACGGTATTTCCGTCCAGTTAGCAATTTGTGCACGAACGAGAATTTAAACAGACAAATATGAAAATAAATAAATACGATTCAGTAAGTAAATTCAACACTATTTACATTATTTGGACTATTGTCCTCATCTTTGCTGCCATATTTATTACAACGTTTCGGCCGTTGTATGCTCTGGTCTTCTTCAGGTGGCTGGAATGTTGACATTCCAACCACCTGAAGAAGGCCAGAGTGTACAACGTCCGAAACGTTGTGATAAATATGGCAGCAAAGATGAGGACAATAGTCTGAATAATGTAAATAGTGTACATAATGCCTCATCTCAGAAATATAGACAAATTCAAATTAAAAAGTAAATAGAGAGAAAGAGAGAGATATGGCATATACAAAGTGCTATCAGTGTATTCTCTTATTGTCTGCCGAATTATGACACCTTTGCATTTGAGTAAGGCAGACGATAACTGTTTTATTGCTCATGATGACGTCTCTCATTAAAACTAGTTTTCATTGGCTGAATTCCAAAAGAAATCCAACAAATATAAGATCAGGCCAAAATTTTGTGGATTCAACTAAATCAGTTGTTTGTAACGTAGGTTCACGTGGCTATGTGGGGGCCCTGGTAAATTTTATGGGGACCACAGAAACGTTTTCTGATTTAGGCAGGGGCACAAGTTCAATGAAAGATGCTACAGTGCTATAACTATGTTTCCCCTTTACATTTTAGTTCTAATAAACTTAAATTATGTAATAAAATGGTTTTCAAGTGTCTTTTGTGTTACTAGTGTATATTTATAAAAAAATTATTTTGCAGAACTTTTTAAGTTTGTGTGTGCATTTACGCACAGAGTATTTTTGACGAAATAAAAATTTATTCCATTTAACTGGCTCACTTTTTAAAACGAGCAGTTTTGAAGTTTATATGGAGAAATATCACTGCTTATTTGTTACGGAAATTGTGAAATAATCATTTGTTAAAGTAAGTGGTTAGGAGCGATCTCTTTTTTTTTTTTTTTTTTTTTTTTTTTTAAATATCAATCAATCTAGAGGGAGCCATGAATAGAAAAGGCTGGGAACCACTGGTTTAGAGTAGATGCGATATGAAGCAAAAATAAGATGAAGAAAAGGAAAGATAACATTCTTTGTAAAACTTCTAAACAATAGATAGCCTTATACCAATAAAGGAATATTACTTACGCCTGCTTAAAAACATCTATGATGGTGTGTGTGGAGTGGGTGCTGGTATTGTTTTTCCTGTAGCTTACGAATTGCTAGAATGTTTTGACACTTAGTCTCCAGATAAATGCTGGCTATTCTCGTTGACCTTTTTGGCAGAACACAATTTGAAATGTCACTGTTAACAGGTGTCACTGAATAGTATAATCTCTGTGTAATAGAGAGCTTCCTTGTTTCTCACTCTGAATTGGTTACTTTTTCTACACGCATGTGTGTGTGTGTGTACAAATCCAGATATAACTAAAAATACATCTATAAAAAGACAATATGAATAAAGACAAAAGGAAAACTTATCTCAGCCAATGCATCCATTTTGTTCTTTGATTAACATTGCCAAAGCAAACAAGGCAATAAAGCCACTAAGACGCAAGGGGTTACTGACTGTAAAAGAATATAAGAAAAAGAAAAGATATTAGGGAGCGAGATTAATAATAAATGAACAGAAATTAAGAAGACCGAAGATGACGATTGACATTGCATTTATATTTTTGACGATCAAAGTTGACTGGAAAGCAAGAAGCTGGAAGAAGGTCCCACAAGTGAGAAGTGCAAGAGAAGAAACTGTTAGCCTAGAACTTTTCCTTTATAGCTTAACTATTGTTACATTCACTTACATGCAAATACTCGATATGAAGCCATCTCTTCTCTCCAGCTATGGGTTAAATAGCAGGACACTGTTCTATAGCCCTGGCTGGCAACCAGTCTATTGTAGATAGAAATGGCTACCTACTGTGTGAAAATCTTCTGCCTAGTTGGTCATGTATTGAAAGAGACATGATTGTCCAATCATGTATCACATATAGCACTTGATTGACGGACTGCATTGAGCTGAATAAAGAATTATATTTGAAATTCCCAGAAGATTAACCAATGACTATAGGTGCTTGAAAAGGGCAGTAGGTATGTCAGCCGAAACGTTGAAACAATAATTGTCAGAATGAAGATACAAATTGGAAACAAGAATATAGTCTTAGCATTGTCATCATTTCTCCTTGGATTTAGTTGTACTATGACGAATCTTACACTGCATTTCTCAGTGGTACACATCTAAGTGAAATGCGATTGTAATTAATGTCTTTTGATCTTGCTAATGACTATGCGAACAACTGAAAGTGCTTGACCAAAAAACTTTTGGAAATTCTGAATTATAAAAAGAAAACTAGTTTTAATCAAACATGGATTAATGAAGGGTTGCTAAATATCATGGCTGGTTACTTATTTACAAGGATATTTGTCTGTTAGGGTAGTTATCTAAATCCATACTGCAGAAGTCTGCTCAGGCATATTGTATTTTTTTCTAAACCAATATCACCATCGTTCTTTGTGATAAGCAGACCATAGTTTTTAGCAGAACATGAACAAATCTAGTACACTGAGACCCATCGGCCATGACGACTTGTAATTTCATGCTACCTAAATGATAACTTCCAAACAGCTTCATCTACCCAATACACAGGTAAATAATCATGCATGCTGGAGGCTGGAAACCTTACTCTAGGCTGACACTTTCTTTAAAAACAGACAATAGAGATTCAAATCCTCAGGGTTTGAATATTAATTCGAGAATATCAGGTATATCTATACAAAGGTAGTGCAGTTGCTTGAAGATGCTGCTAGCGGGTAAAGAGTGCTATGAGTAAAACTCTCTGTGTATGAGTAAGACGCAAGGAGTAATGAGAACGGATTCTGGCACTCTGCTCGCTAAAGACTTTAAGGTTCCGTGACACTTCCTGTTGATTCAAAGGCTTTT